CACCTAATATTGAATATCCCGTGGGGTGTACCTGAAGAGGAAATTACGGCACTTTTGCATCTCCGGAAACTTTGACACTTTTGTCAGGGTTATGGGGGTTCATCCCCAGTGAGAACGGGATCGGAGCTCTGCAGAGGTGTGCTGAGATATTTCTGACACGAGCGGAGGATAACAGTAAACTGAGGAGGTCAGTTCAAGTCAGATGAGGTCGGGTGAGGTTGTGGATTTGCCACGTGTCGGAAAAAAATATGAGGATTTCTGTCCGTAACATCCAGGACGTTCATTGACTCTCGGAGCAAGGTCGAGATGGTCTGAGGTAGTCTGAGGTAGTCTGTACTGTACAGAATATATCTGACACTTTTTCGGTAGGTATTTAAATCAGTAAATTCATGATTAATAGTAAATACTACAGCAAATTCTGGGTCTACAAAGCAAGTCGGTGGCTATCTGGGAGTATCTGGACAGTTATAATGCTTCTAGCGTACTGAACAATGAACTAGGAGTCCTGTGGGCAATCTATAAGGTCTGCTAAAGCGTTAGTAGCAAGAACACCATGAGAATATGAAATACATACAGATTTCTAGGGAAAATGAATTAAATTGGAAGGGGGAGAATAGTACTGGACGTACTGGATGGGCAGCCAACGTGGAGTTGGTGGTCGTAGTTGGAGGGGCATAGGTAGTGGGTGGGTCTGGGTAAATGTTGTCGTCGTTGTCGTCAATGTGGATGATGGTGGTGTCGACGGTAGGCAGGTGGCAGCACTGTTTCAACCTTTCGTTTCTTAGTTTTTGACGCTGGTTTTTCTTCTGAGTCATGCTTTCATTTGAATTTTTCTTACCTGGGACAGTGCATATATTAGGATGCTGCGCCCGTATCTGGGCATACAGGGTTCTACCGCAATATTTTTTCAGTGGGTATATGCGCCGAAAAGCAACCGAAAAGAGCATTTAACGCACTTTTAAATACCTAAATCATGTTCTGCAGTACTGCAGTATTCTCCGCTGTCCTGCTAAGTTTCTCTACAAGAGCACGGTATAAGCTATTAGCCATTTCACAAGGGCCAGATGAGCTTGGCCCAGAATCCAGCCTATGTGAGCGAGAATCAAAAGAGCTCGAAAAGGCTTGAATAGAGCCTGTCACAGGTGTTGCCCAGAAAGCTGAGAGATGTCTAGGAACTGGGAACTATACAGGGACATGTTTAGAGCGGGAGCCTAGAGATATGAAGCGACGAACGTTAGAAACAAGAAGTACGCGTATGAATAGACTTCAGAATTGAAAATGAAAATACACTAACCACATTACATAAGTAATTCAGGCTACTGCATAAAGCGCCTCGTTATAATAACGTTTTGTGGTAAGGAAACTGTCTTAAGGAGATCTCTTTTGTGATACAGCACTTTGAGGTTTTTTGTAAAGTTCAACGCGGAATTCACCAATCTCAAAAATTTTCACGGCATAAAATAGATTAATTTGGATTTGATGTCATCATTCCACATGCAACTCAGATTCAAACAGCATGCGGCTGATATTCACGGGCTACGCCGGTGGAAGTCATATATTTGCACAGTTCCTCAGAATGGCTCAGATCCCGTTCTCACTGGGGTTCATCAATCAGATGTCACGTTTAATGTCACTCTCAGTAAAATGACACATTTTACATTAGTCATACAAAGTCGTCAAAGTCATGCATTTGCTGGGCTTAAGTCATTAAAAGTTGTGCAGCTAGTCAGCAAATTTGCAAGGGCAGTCAACTTGAAATCACCTTGGTTACCGACATTCCCAAGCACTCAATTATCTGACTTTTTCACTTGGACAGTCGTACAACGGTCATTCAACGGTCATTTAGGCAGTCATGCAAAAATCATACAATAGTCATACAATAGTCATTATATTTCATACATCAGTCAGTCAATCTCGACAGAGTCAGTGCCGTCCCCCCCCTTCTGGGTGGTGGGGGCAGAGCTGGGTGGTGTGTCCATCCCTTTGCGTTCGCGTTGGGCCCCCTTTCCTTTCGTGTTGCAGGTGGTCCAGGGATCGAAGCTGAATGGTATGAAGTAGATTAGTATAGATGTGCGTCAGCAAGCTTAGGAAGTTTGGTAGGTAACTAAGAGGTTAAGAGACTTCCTTCTATGGGTCGCGCCAAATAAAACCCAATGTTCTAAAAATAAAAGTCTACATGAAATGCATATCTAGTCTAATTATTCCTGGCTATCTTCATGTAAGCCTTGTAACGTTGGGTTAACGCCAGGATACGTAGGGTTGCTTTGTCTCGCTTGATTCTAATTTTCAATGCTTTCTTGTATGCATACAGTGGGGACAACACTTGAGATACCTTCTGCCTGGGGAGAAGCAAAGACTTGCATGCCTTGCTTGGCTTGAACTGTTGGGAGGCAGGAAGGGACTGAGTAGGAGGAGGGAGAGTTGCTGGAGTTGGGGAGGGCATTGTGATTGGGTTGCAAGTTGCGCAACCAGGCTAACTGTCAAATAAGGGAAAAGTAGGCCTTTTAATCTAAGAGAAACATACGCTGGGAGGAGCCGGGTATCGGTTTATGGCCTTCAAGAAAGCATCACGAGAAGAATAGTCCAACCGATGTGGGAAAGAGGCGAGTGGACTCGAAGGAATCTGCTCAGAAATACATCAATGTGGACCCTCGAAGCAAAAATAAAAACAGAAATAAACCTCTCTTTCCTGGACCACAGAGCTTTCCACAAAAAAGTCAGGGCTTGGAGGGAAGGAGTCCATGCCGGAAGAGGAAGGAGAGGAATTGTTCAACGTTGAGGCAAGCCCTGCACGTGCACACAACTTGGCAAGTCATCCAACTCTACAGGAAAATGGATGTTCGACACTTTGACATTTCAAGCAAATAAAAAGGAAAACAGATAATCATTTTTATGTAGCAGTAGGTTAAGTTTAGGGGCTTCGATAGCGGAGGAAACCAATACCCAAAGGGTGGAGCGGTCGGTTTGAGCGATGATGTTGTCGGGAATTCCGTAATGTCCAGTCAGAATTTGACCAGCGACTGACAACTGTGCGACTGAACTTGAAGGTCTTGGGAACGAAGACGCAGGCACCCTTCTTGAACTTGGCGAACCATTGTCCACTCTCGCCGGCCCAGATATCGCACTTGTCACCATACTGGAGTTTGAACTTCTGTGCCTCGGAGTCGGACACCTCAATGGGTTGATCGTGTATGAGCTCAACTTCTTGGTTGAAGACCTTGTTGGGGTCGTAACTGCGGAACAACTCAGGCTCTGTGTATATGATGTCAGTCTAATATCAAGTTCGTACAAATGTAAGTAGTATGCATGGATTCTAATGATGACGAGAGATGTAAGGGAGGAAAAGAATGTGTCCGCAAGTGAAAATGTAAAAAGAATTATGAAGACACCTGAGCAATCGCAATCGTCTCAGAATGGCTGAGCGACACCAAAACCTTCGAGATTCCCTTCTCCGCAGCTCGAGCCTTGGCATCGCCATGAAGGCGCACAGTAGGAACACCCATTTCATCGGAGAGCTAAGGGAGAAGATGAGCATATGGAACAAAGAAAATTCCATCTCGATCCAACGCACCTGGTCGTGATCGTGTAGGTATGATCATCTCAGTCGCGTTGCGTCTGAGGGCCCTCACAGACCTGGGCGTAACACCGGCGTTGATAGGGGAGGTCATGAAGGGGGGAATGTTCTCCCTGTTGCTGTCGCGATGAGCAAGGTGGTCCAGGCATGCTTGGGATTGGATGTACGGTCGGGTGTCTGGAGCTGCTCCGACTTTGAACTTCTGTGCCTCGGAGTTGGACACCTCGATGGGTTTGAGGTCGTGGATGAGCTCGACTTCCTGGTTGAAGACCTTCTTGTTGGAGTCATAACTGCGGAACAACTCAGGTTCTATGTATATGATGTCAGCCGAATATCAAAAAAAGAGGGAGAAGTTCGTACCAATGAGACGGATACCAGTGTGAAGGGTGAGCCTCCATCTCCCATCGTGTGTGAGAGCTACCCCAAGGTCCAACTTCACCGTAACTGGTGATAACAACGACCTTTTCCAGATCGACAAGACCTCGGAGGTGTGAAAGATCAGAAAGCGAGGTGGAATCAGGAGAGTTGTGCAGAGAGCGAACGACACCCTCATAAAGAGCCTTGATGAGGTTCTTCTGGTTGTTGCTGATCTCGCTGCTGGTCATTTCTTCGACGTAAGCCTTGAGCTTGCGGACATTTTTGCGCACGACTTCCGAGTATTTGATTTTGCGCTTCTCGGTAACCTCTGTATGAGGAGCAGTTGGGAAGGTGACTATGAACCGAAGTTAGATCAAGAACGAAAATAAGAGGAAAACCTTACCATCTTTGTACATTAGGGGCTTGCCCAAGACTTTGCGAGTGTCGTTGATGAGTTCTGGCGAGCTTATAGGTTTCACTTTTGGAAGGATCGCAATGGTCGATGTTGTATTGCGTGTACTCGAGCATGTCCAGATCAGCACGGTTAAGGAGGGCGATGCAGCGAGCGGTGATCTCAAGATCGGCTGTCGTTAGACGGCCCCCAGGATCCTCCTCCAGCCGAGCAACAGTATTTGCGTGAAGTTGACGTTGCCGGGAGATATTCAATGCGGCACCTTGGACAGAAGCCAAAGTCACAAAGTCGTAGAAGGTATCCTGAGGCAGGCAGATAGAGACAAATGTAGCATTGTCGTCTGTGACAGAAGAAACGAGGATGGAGTCGCCGAAGAAGAATTAATGATGGAGGGCATGTTGGAATCTTTTGGATACTTGAACCAAAGTGGGTGGAGAACAGGGTTCCGTCCACATGAGAATGGCAGGAAGTGGTGTAGAAATAGTCAAATAATTGATACCTGGGAAAGAAATGAACGGTTTAGAAGAAACACGAGACTCGATCAACCTCAATTCATACCGAATATCAATGGCATTGCGAGCGGCCTGAGCGACACTCGGCTAGATGTAAAACTCTTGACTGATACCGCTATTGATATTATGCTAGAGGAATGTGTCAACACGATTTTTCGCTGCAAAAAGATATCTTTACATCAGTTTTCGACTTCCAATGATTCGATCCATGAGGGGTAGAAATCACTTTCACAGGACTTCCAGGCGTAACCACGAACTTTTCATACTTGAACATCAAATCCGAAACAGCAACGACCAACCCTTCCTGCAAAAATGGCCAATTCATAAACGTCCTCTCATTAACCATCCCTCGTGCGATGTCTCGCGTTTTCCCGTCTTCATACGTGTTCTTGATATGGATGATCATGGATTTGTCATGGCTTTCTGTTCCGTGTACGTTGACCCCATGATGGCCTAATAAAGCGATATGTCGGAGGGTATGGAGAGATGGGAACCCTGCCTAGAGCAGTTTCGTTGCAGAGCCCTGGAATGAGGTGTAGTCCATCCAAAGTAGGTAGATTGAATGCTTCCATTATACAAGCACATCAATAGAGGGGAGAGAAGAATCTTGGTAACGATGATGGATAAACTGTCGTTTCGTCTGGGTTGAGAACTTGAATTTAGTAGTCGTTCCCCAAGAGTCTCGATGTTGTTCCTCTGGTTGAGACGATGTTCAGGCTCTTAAAAAACATATAAAACACACAAAAGAGAACATACCGAATCCACAAATATCAATTCCTACCATCGGAACTTGATAGATCCAGCGCCGTTCCCATGCTGCGATGCACTTTGCGTGTGCCTCTGCTGCAATCGGAGGTTCAGAAATATCCAGTAAGGAGGAAGAGGCACAGCACGAGCCCACAGGAGGCAGCTCGATGGGTTTAACGCGCGTACATTCCCAGAGTTTGATGAGGGACCAGTATCCGCAGATGCAGGGGCGTTGGTGTTGAGTTTCTCATCCATGCGGAGGTGGGTCGCTCCGTATGCGGTGGGTGACCCCTGTCTGTCGTGGTGGATCTCTGTGGATTTCCAGTTGTCAGTGGTGGCAGCAAAAAAGGAGGAGCCGGAAAGATGGAGCTGGGGGCTCACCTCTTGATGCACCTTGAGGGCCTCCCATTGCCTGTGTCCCCCCTTTTCACATCCTTCCTACCCACACCATTACCGATAGCGAAGATTTGTGCCTACATCCCA